AGGGCGGTTTCGAGTACATCTTTGTAGCAATCGACAAGTTCACCAAGTGGATCGAATACAAACCACTCGCAAAATACAGCGCAGCCAAAGCGGTCGAGTTCATCCAAGATATTATGCACCGCTTCGGCATGCCCAATCGAATCATCACAGATTTGGGTTCTCCCTTCACAGCTATAGAATTCAAAAGTTGGGCACAGGATTGTGGCTTCAGTATAGATTACACATCAGTCGCACATCCAGAAGCCAACGGACAGGTAGAAAGGGCTAATGGACTCATACTAGCCGGATTAAAACTAAGATTGTATGAAGAACTAGTAGACTATGGGTCAAAATGGATCGAAGAATTACCCAAAGTTGTATGGGGGCTACGGACTCAAATAAGTAGAGCCACCAGATACTCACATTTCTTCCTGGTATACGGATCAGAAGCCGTACTACCCGCAGACCTAATCTGGACGTCACCAAGGATAGAACAATACGACGAAGGAGAAGTAGAACACACCCGAAGATTAGAACTCAACAGCACAGAAGAAGTCAGAGTAAACGCTACCCTGCAATCAGCGAAATACCTCCAAGGACTAAGGTGCCACTACAACAAGAATACACAGTCTCGATCATTACAAGTCGGAGACTTAGCACTAAGAAGAATACAAAAAACCGACGGACGTCACAAACTACTCAGTCCATGGAAAGGTCCTTTTATCGTCGCAAAAGTCATCGGACCAGGCACATACAAGCTCATAACTGAAGATGGAAAAGAAGTCAACAATACATGGCACATCAGTCAGCTACGAAGATTCTACGCATAAAAACAACTCAAGGGAGAATATGTATACAAGACACAAGAGATCAACGTTCATGATCAACAAAGATACCGCAATGTATCATTGTAACACATCAATATTCATGATCAATAAAGATGATTATCTCTCGACAAACATATGTCTCATGGCTCTATCCGAGTTATTTCTTAAATGCAAAATGGCTGAAAATACGCCTGAGCATCCCGGCTGAGAGCAAAATAGTTGAAAAGACACTTGAGCCCGCCGATGAGGGTAGCTAACAAGCTAACACCCGAAATAAAATGCAAAATGGCTGAAAAGACGCCTGAGCATCCCGGCCGAGAGCAAAATAGTTGAAAAGACACTTGAGCCCGCCGATGAGGGTAGCTAACAAGCTAACACCCAAAATAAAATGCAAAATGGCTGAAAAGACGCCTGAGCATCCCGGCCGAGAGCAAAATAGTTGAAAAGACACTTGAGCCCGCCGATGAGAGTAGCTAACAAGCTAACACCCGAAATAAAATGCAAAATGGCTGAAAAGACACCTGAGCATCCCGGCCGTGAGCAAAATAGTTGAAAAGACACTTGAGCCCGCCGATGAGGGTAGTTAACAAGCTAACACCCGAAATAAATTGCAAAATGGCTGAAAATATGCTTGTGCATCCCGACCGAGAGCAAAATAGCTGAAAAGATGCTTGAGCCCGCTAATGAGGGTAGCTAACAAGCTAGAACCCAAAATAAAATCAAAACGACTGAAACTAAGCCTGGGCATAGACCAGAGCAATATCAAAAGCAAGACCCTCCAACTTTTTGTTCCAAATAGCAAGAGGCTCGGGGGCTACACTCAGTGAGTGCACTTTTTTCTCTAAAAAAGCGCACACCACTCAGAATGCTTCTTCAAAACAGACGGCGTCAGGGCCACAAGACAAAAAGAACCCGAACACAGCTAAATCAGAGCCCTTTTTCAACAAAGAAGTCGGGGAGCCTTTCGACGAAGAATCAGGAAGGTTACAAGAAAAGACCCTCAAGCTCCTTGTGCCAAACAACAAGAGGCTCGGGGGCTACATCCATATGGGAGTACTTTTTTCAAAAAGGTACACACCACGCAAAGATCTCACGAAGCGCTACACGGTTTCAATCAAGAAAGCACTCGGACGACGCTTGTTCCTGCTCAACAAGACTTGAAGGAACAAGACGAGGCTTCCAGAACTCAACCATGAAGTGCTCGGGGGCTTGTCAGTGCAGGACCCACGGGATACCCCACAAGGAAGGAAGAAGACCTAGTCTAACTAGGATTCTTCCCCTGTAATCTTAGTAGCAGTGTTACTCCGTAATCATACTAGGAATTCTCATTGTAAACCGACTAGAACTCTGACCTCCTGACTATATAAAGGAGGGCAGGGCTCCTTAGATAGGGAGTTCAACAGAACAATTGTACGACACAACGCTTCATAATCAATCCAACGCAAAAGCTAACACCGACTGGACGTAGGGCTATTACTCGATCTGCGATCGAGGGCCTGAACCAGAATAAATCGACTGTCTCTTGCGTTAACCATCGAGTTCTGCATACGCTGAAATCCGAACATACTGCCCCGGGTACCCCCGTGGCAGGCTATCGGTGGTCAAACATCGACAAAGCCCTTGGACGTCCTCCCCTTGGCCACCTCCTTAGGAGACTTGCAAGGGCATCCAAGCCAAGCCAGAGGCCCAATCCATGTGAAGTTCGAGTCCGTCTCGGGCTCTAAGAGCAGTCTATAGTAAAACGGACGCCCAGGTCGCATACGGACTCTGTTTTCGACGAACCAGCTATGGATGGAAAGAAAATTTGATAAGGCAACCAATGGAAGTGGTTCCACACCAAAATTCTTTTAGAATCAAAAGGAATCTATCAGGGCATTGCATCGTCGTCTTTTAGGCCGTTTGGGCCTTGTAACGTATCTAGACTCCTTAGGGACGCGAATAGAGGTCCTTGGACGCCCTTTAGGCTATATAATTAGTAGCCGCTGCCTACGTTAGGGTTTGGGTTTTGCTTTAGATTAATCTGTCTTTGAACAGTCGCTGCTATAGGTTTGTGAATCCCCACGTTGAGATCTTAATCATACATTTGTAAATTGTCACTTTACTTGAGTTGCATTTTATCTTGTTCTTGCTTATGTTTTTCGATTCGCAGCAGAGATTAGCCTTCTTGGTAAGGTCAACCGGATTGTGATACGGTTGATAACCAGAGGAGACGTGGTGCTAAGGTTGCAGGGTTTGGGTCTTTGTAATCTGAAGCCGGATCGGTGTGTTGCTCTCCACCAAATCGATAGTTATCTTGAACCTGACGGAAAATTGGGAACCCCGCTCCCATCGTACCTGGCGATATAATCTCTATCTTTATTCTCTAATTCTCAACCTAATATTAAAGAGCAAAACAATTCTTTCAATCTGCTACGCTCCGGCCCAAGCCTCCGGCGACGGGCCTCTGCTCCGCTCCGTCAGAAGCCCGGCCTATATCCTGAAGTGAATTTGGAACAACTCCAACAAACTCCACCTTGAGACAAATTCATCTTGTATCATAAATCAACCCTTCATCCTGAATATAACAAAGATAGAAAACCACTGGTGCCAACAATAGTCTCTTGGACTATCCAATTAAACCAACTAAGCTTGAGCACAGCTCAAACTTAACAACAGAACAAAGCTTTGTCATCATATCGCCAGGATTATCATGAGTACTAATCTTGCATACCTTCACTTTACCTTCTTCAATCACATCACGCACAAAATGATACTTGATATCTATGTGCTTAGTTCTCTCATGGAACATCTGATCTTTAGTGAGGTAAATTGCACTTTGACTATTACAAAGGCAAACTTATGCAAGATTCAACTCCACAAAGCTCAACAGACAAACCTTTCAAATAAATTAATTCTTTGCACGCTTCACAAATAGCCATATATTACCTTGAAGAGTAGACAAAGCAACAACCGATCGTAAAGTAGCCTCCAACTCACAAAGACAATCGCCAACAAGAAACACATAACCTATAAGTGATCTTCACTTTGTCGGATCAAGACAGATAATCGAATCCACATAGCCAATAAGACCCTTATCGGTTCTTCCAAACTTTAAACAGAATCACAGCCTCTCGAGGTACACGAAAATCCAATGAATCGCCCTCCAATATTCTTTGCCGAGATTAGACATATATCTACTAACAAGACTCATAGCATATGACAAATCTGGACGAGAGCAAACCATGGCATACATCAAAGACCCAACAACACTAGAATAAGGAACCCTTGACATGTATTCACTCTCTGCATCTGTACTAGGACACTGAGCAGCTGACAACTTAAAGTGAGGTGCAATAGGGGTACTAACAGCCTTAGCATTTTGCATGTTGAAACGCTGAAGAACTTTCTTGATATAATTTTGTTGACTAAGAAATAGCAAACCAGATTTTCTGTCTCTACTAATTTCCATACCAAGAATTTTCTTAGCACTACCAAGATCTTTCATATCAAAACCACTACTCAATAGCTTCTTTAACTTAATGATTTCAATCTTACTCTTGGCAGCAATCAGCATATCATCAACATATAACAACAAATATATAGGTGATCCATTAACATGCTTGATGTAAACACAGCTATCATACTTAGATCTTTTAAAACTGTGTGCTAACATAAATGAATCAAACCTCTTGTTCCACTCGACGAGGGACTGTTTCAAACCATACAAGGATCTCTTCAACTTGCACACATATTTTTCCTTGCCAGGCACTATGAACCCTTCTGGTTGGTCCATGTATATGTCCTCCTCAAGCTCTCCATGCAAAAACGCAGTCTTCACATCTAACTGCTCAAGCTCAAGATCATGTGAAGCAACAATACTAAGGAAAGTATGAATTGAACTGTGTTTTACCACTGGAGAGAACACATCATTGTAGTCAACACCCGGAATTTGATCGTAGCCTTTAGCAACTAACCTTACCTTATACTTTGGAGGCTCGCTTGGAGATAAACCTCCTTTCTCTTGAAGATCCATTTGCAAATGATGGTCTTCTTATTCTTAGGCAAAGGTACAATCTCCCATGTAATTGTTTCTTCTCAAGAGATCGCATCTCCTCATGCGTGGCAAAAATCCAATTCTCGGTATCACCACAACGAATAGCTTCTTTATAGGTTCTTTGGCTCATGAACATTCTCCACCTGCTCAAAGAGCACAACTCAAAGCATAGTAAGACAAATTACGCTCTTCAATAAGACGCTTAGGAGGTGCAATTGTCCTTTTGACTTGCGTTGAGCAATAGGTAAATCCTCCTCTAACTGCGCAAAATAGGAGGAGTTTGTTTGAACATCATCATGAGCATCATCCTCAAGAACATCATTATCATGTTCACCATGCTCATCAACAGCTCCACCGCACACACAGATCATCATCAACATGCTCCACCAGATGCGCATACGCTGTAGCTCTTTTTCTCGAACATGATCTCGAGGGCAAACTGTCAATAAACATCACAGATTCATTGAAAACAACACTTCGCTCATAAAAGTCTTTCTGTTTGAGATTCCACAATTTATAGCCTTTGACTCCCGAACTATAACCAAGGAAAAGACACTTAACAGCTCTAGGCTCTAATTTTCCATTATCAACATGAGCATAAGCAAAGGCATCCAAAAACTTTCAACTGTGAATAATCAAAGCGAGCGTGCGGACCATACCTCAATGGGAGTTCTTTTATTTAGTGGAATAGAAGGCGACACTGCTTATCAAGTAACAGCAAGATTAGCGACTTTTCAGCCCAAAAATGCTTGCTCATCCCGGCATTAGACAAAGATGCAACGGGCCTTGGACATGATGGTTCTGTTCATGTGTTTGGCCACACCATTCTGTTGTGGAGTATGGGGTATGGTGTGATGCCTAACAATACCTTCCGATCTGCAATAATCATTAAATTCACGCGAACAAAATTCTCCACCATTATCAGTACGAAGCAATTTTACCTTGCTTTCGGTTTGCCTTTCTATCATTACTTTCCGGTCCTTAAAAGCAAAGAAAAGTATCATCTTTCTGCTTTGTAAAATAAGGCCAAACCCTTCTAAAGTAATCATCAATAATTGTAAGCATGTAACGAGCACCACCAAGTGAGGACTTACGGGAAGGGCCCCATAAATCAGCATGAACATAATCAAGAGTACCTTTAGTGGTGTGAACAGAAGTGTTGAAATGTACCCTTTTATGCTTCCCGAAAATACAATGCTCACAAAACTTTATTTTACTCGAAGTGCAGCCATCTAGCAGGTTTCTCTTCATCAATTCTGCCATACCATGGTGACTCATATGTCCCAAACGCATATGCCAAAGGTTAGTTTTACTAGGTTCATCATTAGTAACAGCAGCAACAGCGGAATCAGAACCAGGTAAAGTACACACTCTAAGGACATATAACTTTGCAGAATTAAGATCATCTTTCAAGCAAACAAGAGAACCTTTTGATACCTTCAGAACACCATCTGAACCGGAATATTTGTAACCTTCTGCATCAAGCGTGCTCAATGAGATAAGATTTCTGGACATCCCTGGTATATACCTGACGTTTTTCAGCGTGCGTGTCATGCCATCATAAGTCTTGATCTGAACTGATCCAATCCCCACAATGTCACACGGGTTATCATCTTCCATCCGCACAACATCCCCTTTCTTTTGACAAAGCTTATACGAGCTAAACCAATTTCATTAGTGCAAATATGAAATGAACATGCGGAATCGAGAATCCATTCATCATGACCAAAGAACACAACCAAAGAAATACTACCGACACAATCTCCGAATCATCATCGATGCAAAGAAGAAGAACAGAGACCTTACCAAATTAACTTTGTTTTTCCTCTTCTCCTTATTCGTACTTTTCTTCGCAATCCTCAACATTATGATTTGTCAGCTTGCAATAAACACAGAACTTTTTATTACCATGCGGCTTGGACTTTGAACGGCCTCTTTTTTCGTAGTTCTTTCTTCCATCGTTGCCATCATTGGAGGATCTGTTTTCAGTTCTGCCTCTCACATGCAAAGCATCGCCCTTGGAGGACGACGTCCCGTCATTCTACACCATGCCTCTCATCTTCTCCCTAGACTGGAGAGCCTCATAAACTTCCTTTAGGGTTAGTTCATCACGGCTCAAAAGTATGGTGTCACGAAAATTTGCATACGAATTTGGCAAAGAACATAGCAGTAAAAGACCTAAGTCCTCATCATCATACTTCACCTCCATCGACACTAGGTCGGCGACGATCTTCTTGAATTCAGCGATGTGGCTCATCACCGAATCCTCCTCCTTCATCTTCAGGGTGAACAGCTTCATCTTCATCTCGCATCTTCTTGGTTAGATCCTTGGACATACAGATCGATTCCAGCCAAATATAGTTCTCGCAGCGAGCTTTCTTTTCGACACTCCTGCAAAATATCATTATGAAGATGCAACTGATTTAGGGCGAGCGCCTTCTGATCCTTGCGGATCTCTTCTGGAGTCCACTCGGCCTTCCTCTTGCTGAAACTATCCAGCGCCTCATCATAGTCATGAGTCTGCGCCAGAATCCCCCGCATCTTGACTTGCCATAGCGAGAACCGCGTGTCGTAGTTCAAAGAATGCGGAAGATCGAACTTCATCGACGCCGTCATGAACCCTAACAACAACCAAAGCTCGGTACCACTTGTTATGAACGACGATAGGAATATGAAGTAAAGAATCAAGCCACGAGAGGAGACACACGATTTAACGTGAAAAACCCTCCGATGTGAAGGGAAAAACCACGGGCACCAGCCAAAGAACAATCTCACTATCTCAAGAGTTTTGGGTTACACGCCTATGGCGGCTTACAAGAGAATCAAGTCTCCACGAAACCCTAGCAAGGGTGTATATACCGTACAGATTAGCGGGGGCTCCGCCCCGCACCCCCTTAACATGTGGGCGAGACCTGATGGGGCCTCCGCTCCGCTCCGTCAGAAGCCCGGCCTATATCCTGGAGTGAATTTGGAACAACTCCAACATGGTAAGCTGTAGCTGGTGTAGTACATATCCTGACCCCTGTATACTGCAACTAATAAGTACTCCTACCTGACATGCATCACGTTATAATTAATAAGCTGCTATATACCATATAACTTGAGTTTGAAATTTTGGAAGGAAAGCCCTGAAAACTCCGGCATTGGTGCGCGACGACTGTACCATCATGGAAGACAAGGACAGGCTCATCATCCTCAAGCTCAAGGTGGGAGAGTCGACGAGCAAGGATCAACTCAAGGTTGAAACAACAGACGACCTGGAGCTCCTGGTCATCAAGTACACCGGCGACGTCAACGACGACAGCCCGGCGAGCTCGCTGGACCTCCGCCTGCTGGTGCCTCCCGGCTACGACGGCAAGAAGGTGAAGGCTAAGCTGTTCAAAAGCTCGCTCCTGGTTGCTATGGCCAAGCCTAAGCACGATCCCAACCAGATTTTCTTCGATAAAGATAAAGAAACCTTTTATTACGATGCCAACAAGATACCCATCGACTAGCACTAATTGCACATGCCGACCCTGTATGTGATCATCGATCATCAGTATTACTATCACAGTATGTATGAAAACGTACACATGAATATACGGGGCGCCGGGCTTTAAATTCCATCTCAGCTTCATTCTGATCTGTACTTGCTAATACTCCGTAGTGGTACGTATGTACGTACAGTTATATACTCCCACGGTCACTTTTTATCTGTCGCTTGCTTCCAAAAAAGTAACTTTGACTAAATATATATAAAATATTATTAATAGTTATGGTATATAATTAATATCATTAAATAGATCGTCGAATCTATTTTTACAATAAATTTATTTAGAGATATAAATGTTGATAATATTTTCTATAAATCAAATCAAACCTATATGCACATAAACCAATAGCGACAGATATTTATAAACATAGGGAGTATGTCCGTATAGTTTGTACGGTACTATACATAAGACAACCATTTAAATACTAATCTTTACTCTGATGTTTGACCATATACATCTCCTATACTATACCTACCTCACTGTGAGTCAACTGGATGTTGGAATAGTACGGAATTGCATGATTAAATACCAAATATAAATTACGACAAGAAAAAGGGTGACACATACATGCATGTTTCGATTTTTTGTAGGGTGGTGTGCTAATAATATGAAAATGATACATACGTGCACACATGTCCATATTCTCAATGGTGTTTGAATTGGACGAGATATTTGAAAAATTAATGTAGTCGTGCAAATTCATTTGGAACTACCAGCTGCAGTTTTTTTCTTTTTGTGAATTACACAAGTACAGATACAGGCGCTCAGCACGCACGCACACTCATCCCTATGAACACACGTACACAAATCCTACCTCTATGAGCCTCTGAAAGACTGTGCCGGCACATCTCAAAATTGACGAAGTCACCATAGGCGTCTCGTACTCTCGCTGTCGACGGGAACGTCGTCTACCACTGAAAGCACAACGCCGTTAAATCCTAGAATAAATTCAGGAAAATGTGAGCACCCATTCCAAATCGAGGACTTGAACCCGGATAGGCAGGTTCCACCACAAGGAACCTGACCAACTGAGCTAGGCTCAGTTCGCACCGGCTGCAGTTAGTGTCTTAAATTATACAACACCGGTATTTCGTCAAGTCTGCACTTGTGCAGTATAAATTGTAGGATCGGCTTTGCCTATTTCAAAGCCTTGTTTGAGCAAGAATTCCTTAAGACATTCATACCATACTCTTGGTCTTGCTTTAAGCCCGTAGAGCGTCTTTTGAAGTTTATAGACATGGTTGGAGAACTTGAGATCTTTAAAACCCGGTGGTTGCTCAACATAGACAAGTTCTTGTATGAGACCATTGAGAAATACACTTTTCACGTCCATTTGATATAGCTTGAAGTTGTGATGAGCGGTATAGGCTAGAAGCATCCGGATTGCTTCAAGTCTTGCCACCGGTGCATAAGTTTCTTCAAAGTTCAATCCCTCTTCTTGAGTGAAACCTTGAGCAACCAATCTTGTCTTGTTCCTTGTCACCATGCCATTCTCATCTTGCTTGTTCCGGAAGACCCACTTGGTGCCAATGACATTAGTCTTGGGTCCTTCCACTAAGGACCATACTTGATTTCTTTCGAAGTTGTTGAGCTCTTCTTGCATGGCCATTACCCAATCCGGACCACCAAGTGCTTGATCTACCTTGAGAGGCTCCAAAGAGGAAACAAATGAGTAAAATTGGCAAAAGTTTGCTAAATGAGAGCGGGTTGTTACTCCCTTTCGAAGACTCCCAAGGATGTTGTCAATAGGATGATCTCTTTGTACAGTTTGCCTTAGCCTTGGGTGATCAAGGGTTTCTTGCTGGTCTGCTGGCTCTTCGACTTCATCTTGCTCAAGGATTTGCTGTAGGTCTTGTCCTCGAATAGGTGAGTCATCAACTGCTGGACTGGTGGACTGCGGCACTGTCGCTCCATAGGCAGCACAACCGCTGTTATGGGTGGCTCTGCCGCTCTTGCTTCAGCTGCTGAGTAGACAGTGGCTCTAGCTTGAGAAGTTTCCACCTCTGTAGCCTTTTCTTCTTGTGGTCTTATATCACCAATGGCTAATTGCTTGATTGCTTCACACGGTGGTTCCTCATTACCTACAACACTTGAATCAACTTGCTCTACCTAAGAGCCATTAGATTCATATCTACCGCTATTTCAATTCTCTCGGAGGTTTTGTTGAAAACACGGTAGGCATGTTCGTTTAATCGATAGCCAAGAAGAAAACCTTCATCAACTTTAGGTGCGACTTTATAGGTTTTGGGTTTCTTGTTAAGTATGAAACACTTACACCCAAACACTCTAAAATAAGACACCTTTTGGTTTGTTACCAGTTAGAAGCTCATATGAAGTTTTCTTCAACTTCTTGTGTAGATAGAGACAGTTGATGGCATGACAAGCGGTGTTGATTGCATCACACCAAAAAATATCCAGGGTCTTGTACTCATCTAGCATTGTCCTTGCCATATCAATAAGAGTCTGATTCTTCCTCTCTACTACACCATTATGTTGAGGCGTATATGGAGTTGAAAACTCATGCCTGATGCCCTCTTCATCAAGAAATTCTTCCACATAGGTGTTTTTGAATTCAGTTCCATTGTCACTACGCACTTTCTTGATGGGAAAACCAAACTTCCTTTGTGCTCTTCTAATGAAGATTTTCACCTTCTCTTGTACTTGGCTCTTGTCAAACACAAAAAACACCCAAGTGAAACGAGTATAGTCATCAACAATAATAAGGCCATATTTGTTACTGCCGATGCTAAGGTAGGCGACCAGTCCAAAGAGATCCATGTGAATTAGCTCCAATGGTTGCTTGGTGGAGACAATACTCTTTGGTGGGTGAGGTACATCTACTTGCTTTCTGGCTTGACATGCGCTACATACCCTATCTTTCTCAAAAATGAACATTGGTTAGTCCGAGGATGTGTTTATCTTTTAGAAGTTTGGCCAAGTTTCTCATCCCAACATGAGCTAGTCGGCGATGCCATAGCCAACCCATGCAAGATTTTGCCACTAAACAAGTCTCAAGCTTAGCTTTACTTTTGTTAAAATCAACTAGGTAAAGCTTATTCTTTAGACGACCCGTAAAGACAATAGAGGAATCCTCCCTTCTATAGACTTTCACACCCTTATCCGTAAAGAGACAATTGTAACCCATCTCACATAATTGTGAAATGGATAATAAAATGTAACTTAACGAATCAACATGTAAAACATTTGTAATTCAATGCTCAAGGGTTATAGCAACTTTATCAAGACCAATCACTTCCCTTTTGAATTGTCTCCAAAGATAATATTCTCACTTGGGTGTGACATCGGGGAATATGATGACAACATACTCCTCTATCCAGTCATATGATTTGTACATCAACTATCAAGCACCCAAATTACGTTTGATTTATCAAATTTAAAATTTGAATTTTCAAACGATCTTAGATGGAGAAACGCCCAAAAAAGTTGTATATCTCAAAAAGTTGTGCAACTTTGTAGTTGACAACTTTTCATTTGAAATCATCTATCTAAGGAAAATTATGGTTAAATTTCCTTACATATGAAATTCCAAGTTTTCAAATAACATCGAATGGAGAAATAACCGAAACCAAAGTTGTAGATCTCGAAAAGTTATAAAACTTTGTAGTTGACAACTTTTTTATTTGAACTCGTTTAGGATCCTAAATACTTATTTCAAAACCAGAGTGACATAAAATGGGGAGTGTTTACACCAAAATTTGGAAGGAAGGTCACAGGGACCCAGGAGCTCCCAGGATCGTATCATCAAGGGATCAGTTGCGAGCGGATCAGAAACAGCTGATTCAGATGCTAAATCTAGGAATCGGCTTTCTTTGGACAGCGCCAGCAGATGAGGACAGAGGCTACGCTCGACGCCAGGACGAAAAACATGTTGGACTCTACAAAAAGGGAAAGCTTAGAGTCCAAGTTATCTTAAATTAGGATTGTTTTCTTTAGAGTTAAATTTTGTGATGAGTCGTGCTTAGATAGGAGTCGTACGCAAGTCCTGGGTATAAATATCAAGCCCCGGCTATTGTAAAGAAAGACAATCAATCAAATATAAGTCAATTTACT